CCAACCAGTGACAAAAATATATGGTTGATTTTTGTCTTAAGCCAGTATGACTCAGTCTTCTGCTTGGCTAAGTTTTGTCTATTTTTAGGGACTGAAAGAGGATAGAGCTTGGTTTTTAAGTAAAATAAATCTGTCAAACTACATCAGATTTCATTCAAGCAGTTCCCAGTACAAGAGTCTTCCACTGACTGAAACAGAGCATAAAACACTATTCTTTATTGCTTCAAGTCCTTGGGATTTCCCCAACAATGGCACATTTCCCCCCCCACCCCAAAGTTCAATCAATTGGATCCCTTCAGCTGAAGTAATTGCCAGTACCCTACATCTGTGTAATTATGCAAGGAATTTAATTGAGTAGAGAATTGTTTCTGTATCTTTAGCTGGACTAGTACTAACCTCAGAACCAGGCCTGTAGGAAAGCTGCCAGAGAGTGGCAGAGAGGAAGAATGGGGGACTGACTTCTGACTACAGCCCTGTGACTATATTTGAGAGCCATGGTAGTTTATATTCCTTCTGAGGAATGAATGTGATGATGTGCTTTAACACAAAGACGCTAGCAGTAATAGGAGTGGTGTTGCTAAATTAAAGGGGTATGCATAGTTATCCCACCTTCTACTTTGTTTAATATGTATTCCTTAGAGGTGGAGTGGGAGAAGCGAGAGCGAGCACACAACGGGAGCTATGTATCAGTTCAGAATCTGTTCTGTATTTTATTTAAGGAAGGTTAATGCAAGATTATGAGTAAGCCATTTACCCCAGAGAGGCTTGTTGTGTCTCTTGTGCCTCTGGGCAGAAGACCATTTGTTTTCATAGCATTTATGTAGGCACATTTCAGAGGGGAAAATGAATATTGTTTATCTAATTAAACTAAGCTGCTCCAGCCTATTGTAAACAGTATATTTGCACGATACATTTGCTATCAAAATACAGCATTCTTCCAAAATACATGTTTGCATCACCCTAAGTGCATGTTTACTTCCAAGCATCATTCTAACCCTGCTGGTAAATGTGTCATATTACCTCCCGTTGCACCAACACACATACAAGAAGGTTCAGCCTTAATTTGCACTCATGCTAAAAAAAGGAAAGGCACCTGAGTTAAGAAAGGATCATAAGCTTTAATGTTAAAGTCCCTGAGTAGTCAGTTTGTACCATGACCTTCATGCTGTTAAAAGCTTCTGGAGAATGAAGTTGTTACAGTGAATTTTACAAGCCTGCAAAGTGAAACTAAATAATTTGGTTATCACAGCTCTGCTAAATGTAGGACAGTTTATTAGTCCAAGCACAAAACGTACTTGCCAACTGATGATCTTGAGGTTAAAGCACTAAACTGGGGGTCAACTTGTTCTGCCATGGACACCCTGTGCAGCTCTGGGCAAGACACTTACTCCCTGTGCCTCAGCTCCCCTGTCTCCAATGGGATTAATAATCCTTCCTTTCACCAACTCTGCCTTGTCTATTTCAATCAGAAGCTCTTCAAGACAGGTACTGTCTCTCACTATGTATTTGTGCAGAGCCTGGCACAATGGGGCCCTCTAAATACTGCTATAATACAAATCAAAATATCAGGATTTTAGTGAAAACTAGTTTAACCTACACATTTTATTCACCCATTGTAACTTTCGTAATGGTATAAGATTTTGCAATGCTGGTTTATTCACAAATAATACATCACCTCTAGCTGTCTTCAATCTATTTTCCTTATTACTCGGAAGAGAATCACAAGCAAGTAAAGTGTCCAAAACTAACCAAAGTTCATCTATCTAAAACGCTAACCTTTAGCAGGTTCCCTGAGGACAGGAGACTAACGAAGCATTTTCTTTAAACAAATTCCAATCACAGGTTTATATTGCATAAAATTTTAATTCCAGAGTTAAAGATTCTGAAGGAAATAGAGACTTAACTGCTCTCTAAACAAAACGTAAGACTGGTGTGCTTTGTCTGTCGAACAAACGCCTCCCAAGAGATCTACTTAAACAATTCTGTGCTATAATTACGTTCATCAGGTACAATACATCTGCACAAAGAAATTCAATGATGCCTGACTATTTGTCAGAAATTGTAGTGGAGTTAAGCTGTGCATTCATGCAATACATTCTCTAGTGGGGTTTTTTGGTTTGCTTTTTTTAAACTTGATAATTTTCTGTCATTTTCAGGAGGATAATACCAGATTGGCTCTTTCCAGGTCAACAGTATCAATGGGTCATCTCACCTTCCTGGAGCAAGGAAAATGCAGAAACAACCTACATAAAATAATTATGAGTGGATGTTCCCTATGACCTTTGCAGGGAATAGCGTTTATCAAGCACAGATGGGAGTGTTGACAGAAAGAGATTTTTTGATCATGCCATTTCATTCTCAGGAGACAAAAATACAATGATAATAAACATGATGAATGAAAGAATCCCTAATGGCCTTTATCAAGAACACAGCAGGACATTTACATCAAATAAGTTTTAATCACATCTCTCTTGTCCTCAGGCGCCACACAGGGAAAAAGATTGCTAAACATAAAAATTATCTGAGAGTGAGGAGACTTCAGTCTCCAGGGCTGTCAATCCTGCACTTTAGTCTAGCACTAAAAATCACTTTAAAATAAAAATTACATCTGGATCTCATACAGAACAAGATTAAAAAAAAGTCTCTCTCCATAACCGTATCAGATGTTGAAGACCTGCTGTGTCTGAGATAAAGGAGGGCACCCAAATAAAGTTATAAAGAAGACTGATTCATTTATTCAGAATAATGTTATTTGGGCTTCTAAGGGGGCGATAATTTGCGTGCAGATCTTCTAACAGCAGAAAGTCTAACTGGCTGTAAGGTTCTGAAATACCACTTAGTTAACACAGCTCAAGAGAACTTTTCCCTCTAAAATTCACTCTCTCTCACTTGGACCTAAGTTTATGAACACTTGCTCTGTACCATGACAAAAGCACTCTTGCTTCTAGTACAGTAAAACCCCATTTATCCGACCCTCCATTTTCCAGCTCTCCATAGGAGCCAAACCATCAGCGCAGACAGGTCCAAAACGGGCAATCTGTCCTGTGACCACTAGATGGTGCTGCAGGCCCGCATTTTCCCATTCTCTGGATTATCCCAATTTTTGATTATCCAATCAGGCCCTAATCCCAATTAGATCAGATAAATGGGGTTCTGCTGTATCAGTATAGGACAGCAAACTTTGCTGTACTACAAAGTGTCAATAGTCAGTTATTTGGTAAGGTGTGAAATTCCCCCCATGCAAAGAGCAAACAAGACCCACCTAAATCCTCACCTCTATGCAGGGGGGCAGCATGAGGCCTAGATACTACTGCAGTCTTGTGCTAGCTCTTTGCACAGAGGAGAGTTTCACCCTAAAATACAAATGAATCTACTAGGATTAATTACTGTTTATGACAGTCAGGCTGCAAATATTTCAAATTATTTTTATTTATAAAATTCTCAACTCCATGTGCACAGTTCTAATAAACTTTGTTGTAGCACTCCTCACACCCTGCAGTACACAACAGCTTCTTTATTATGCCAGTTATAACTAATTAATTAAGCTAACTCACAAAGGAGATTTTCCTGAAAAGGTGCTAGCATCTTGGCAGTTAATTCCGCATCTCTTTCAAAACACACTGGGCACCACTGCTTGGTTAGTACCCTGGCGAGCCTTCACGGCTACACGGAGTTTGCTGGGGGTGATTTTCTTCTCCCCCAGATGCTGTCAAATTGTTGGTTTTTTTAATTGAAGCAGGGTCAAGGCTGTTGCGAGTAAAACCTCATTGCTGAGCCCTCCAAAAGCAACAAGAAACTTTACAATCACATAACAGCATGCAGCAATAACCGTGCTTTACAGCTTCAAAGCACTTTACAAAATGTTAGTCCTCACAACACCCCTGTGAGGTAGGTCAGACTATTTCGCAAATGGGAAAAAGGTTAAGGCGCTGATCCAAAGTCAGTAGGAAGACTCCACACTGACTTCACCCCAGACCCTGACTAACTTGGCCCCAAAGCAATAGGAGAGTCAATGGAGAAGCTGGGAGGAGAATCCAGTCTCTAAATGCCAATCCCATGCTCAGTTCACAAGTCCAAACCTCACTGCCTAAGCAGCATCCCAATTAAAAGCTACTGCCAGCATTGCAAGGGACAATACGTACGGTGACTTGTCACAACAGGCCTTAGGAAAGACACAGGATTCCATCCCTCCTGGACCAGTTTAAGGCCACCGCACACTGGGAAACTTACTGTGTTGGGAAATGTACATTTTGTGGGTCATCTAAGCAGGGTATTTGACTATCCCTGTGCAAATGTTTATGCGTATCTCAGGCACAGATTCATCAGAATTTATAGAAACTGCATTAGGGAAAATGAAATCTTAAATGTAGAAAAAGGAAGATGTTAAAGGAACATTTGTTTTAGCGTCAAATAATTATTTTATTTTTAATATAAAAATAATATACACATTTACAAAGAAAATACAAATACACCTGTCTGACATGACATTACAAAAACACAAAGAGGGGACGGGGAAGGGATGAATCCTGTTCTTACGTCATTTAATCAGGGTCAGTGAATCACACAGCAAAATTGATTCCCCAAGTGGCTGTGCTACACGAAAGTCCATGTTCAAGCCACTTGGCTCAAAAACTTTGCCTTTGAGGGTTCATGCCACTAATAAGCCATTTCTCTGTGTGTGTGTTTGTTTTAGGCCCTAACATGACTTTCCCCTTTTCTACCATCAACCTCTCCTGCTTTTACTTGCCATTTATAAGCTCCAGTGCCTCATCTTTGCTCCGCGTGATCTTTTCCTGCCTCCACGATGAGGGCCTTCTGGATTGGTTGTGCTTCACCAAGAGGTGCGAACAGCGAACTTTGGCGGGCTCTCCTTGGCCGTTCTTCCCGCCACCGCTGGGGCGCTCCCACTGGCTGGCATTCGTAATGTGATTGAAGTAGTACACACGGCCTACAAATAAAAGGGAGGAGAGGATTAGATTTTAAAAGTTCCTTTCAGACTCATGGCACTAGCTTCTTGCTTATCTCATCAGAAATACAAGACTCTGAATTTCTGCAAGTGGGTGAGAATGTGTGGATGTCAGCTCAAATCAGGAACTGGAAACACTCAATATCCCATAATAAGGGAATGCTGCGGCTTTGCAGATGTCAGTCCCATCTGTTAAGATTCTGGTCTCTAACAAACATTCCTAATAAGAAATAAAGGAAGGGGTGGTGTGAGCACAACAGTTCATCCAGCCTCTTTCCAGCTCTGGCAAGTCACTTCAGTCCTGATCCAGTTCTCATTGAAGTCCATGTCAAAACTCCCACTGATTTCTATACAATAAGGCCCTTAAACCTTCCCAGGATAACCTTCACCACAGGTGAACTGGATAGTTCATATTTGTAAAGTACTAATTATTCTTATGAAAGCAGAAAGTGTGTCTGCAGCCTTCCGGCATCACACAACAGCAACACACCTTCTGAAGAAGTGCACTCACACAGCAGAACTCTGCCTGTATTATCCCTGAAGAGAAAGTGAAAGGTTCTGGGTTTCTGGCAAAGAACAAGGAGATTATGTATTGCTTTACCCCAGCATATATGTGAAGATAAAGCATGGTGAAATCCCTACACAGGAAGGATGAAAAGCCTACATATCAGTGACTCATACCTTACAAACGCATCATAATTTACAGATTTCAGAAAAGATGTGGACAAACTGGAGAAAGTCGAGAAAAGCACAACAAAAATGATTAGCGGTCTAAAAACCGTGATCTATGAGGGAAGATTGAAAAAATTGGGTTTGTCTGGGGACATAACAGGTTTCAAGTATATAAAAGGCTGTTACAAGATGGAGGGAGAAAACTTGTTCTCCTTAACTTCTGAGGATAAGACAAGAAGCAATGGGTGGTTTAGGTTGGACATTAGGAAAAACTTCCTAACTGTCAGGGTGACTAAGCACTAGAACAAATTGCCTAGCGAGGCCGTGGAATCTCCATCATTGGATTTTTAAGAGCAGTTTAGACACACACCTGTCAGGGATGGTCTAGAAAATACTTAGTACTGCCAGGAGTGCAGGGGACTGAAATAGAGAACCTTGCAGGGTCCCTTCCAGTCCTACAATTCTATGATCTTGCAGTTGGAAGACTAAGCAAGAAATCATGTCTGTGTGTGCCGGGCACTGCACAAACAATGGGGCCTTGATCCTGGGTGTGTCTTTGGGTGCTACCACTAACAAAAAACACACCCCAACCAAAACCAACTCTTTAGAATAAGCAGCAAAATTCTCCGGAAGCAAGCAATCAAGAGGACAGGGGACACTCAGCTGTGAAGCCAAGCCAACTAATACTGTAACTTGGAGATGCCGCAAGCTCCTGCCCTCCAAGCTGGCAGCAGCTCATTCCTCCACGAGCAGGAATTCACATGGGCCAGGCTGATTTTCTCCATCATTAACCTCCCTCTCTATAACCCCTTTCAGCCCAAAGGATTTTGAACCAGCAAACCAAGTACTCAAAGCTCTTAAGGAGTGTGACTGTCACGCACAGAGCACTGCATGGAAGGCAACAAGGGGGAAGAGGGAAAGGGAAATTCCAGCCCAAAGATACAGGGACCAAACCTCCAATTATAAAACAACTACCGTGGGCCTGTCAGCATCCTGGCAAAACTATCTGGAACACATGATTCATGTCATGATCCTGTGCAAGTGCTTTGCCTCTAAACTGCACATGGAGTGTGTCATGGCCTTGCTCCAGACTTGACCCTACCCCATAGCAGAACACGCCCCAGTATCCACTCCAGCCACACTGGGACCAGCATCCAAGAAAGGCACCTTTCCAACTTCCACTTCCCCTCCCCACATAGGGACACTCCAGAGCTTCATTCCAGACTTGCCCATCCACCCCAAGGTGAACAAACATGATCCCTCCAGAGCTTGCTCTCTGGTCTCATATCATGGGGAAAGCTTATCCCCAAGCAAAGACATGGCGAGACCCCCAGCCTGCCACACTAGAGCCTCCCCCACCACAGGGAATCACTAATAAAGTCACTTCAACCCTGGCTCTACTC